CTGGGTCCAATTCCGGGGGGTGCAAGTGCTGCTGCCCATTTTACAAGTTTGTGAGAAGTAAATTGCATGCTTACAGTAGAACTGTAATGCATTTTAATGTTTGTTAATCCACTTGTTTAAAATGTCAGTGTCAAAGGCTCTACAATACACGGCTGTGCTGTTCATTTCATTAAAGATGCTTGATGTAATAATTGGTTAGTTTTCTTTTTACTTTTCTGCAGGCGATAGCTTTTTTTTTAATCTGTATGGCTTCTTATTATTTTGTTTGTTTTTTTGCTATGAATTGCTTTGCTTTTGTGAACTTGTCTTAGTGTGCATGATTTGCAAACATTTCGGCTATTGTGAATTTTCTCCTTTTTTTTTTGTAAATAGTCCATCTGTGCTTTTTATTTTGTTTATTTTCTTTTTTATGACATTTTTTCCTGTAAGTAACTGAGGTAGAAAATAATAATAAATTGTTTACAACGGACATGCTGTGTTGCTGCTCTCTTAGCTTGCAGTTCTAATGCTTTGGTTTGGACGCTGCAAATAACCAGTACCAATGACCATGTAATAAAAGAGTGACCCCGCCACGGCCCGAGGTGCGACGCGGTGTTGAGGAGGCGGCACACGGAGGTGTGTTCTCAGCTGGGTGAAGGGGAGCCCCGCAGGTGTCGGTGGAGAGGCCGCGCGCGGCGCGGGGCCCTCTGCTCCCCGGGGCTGCGGCCTCGTGCCCCGCCGTGCCCATGGAAAGAACCATCCCGGAAACTTGTTGCTTTAGCCAAAAGCGGGGCCGGCGGTTCACAGATTGCTTGGCCACCTCCATCCCAGGAATTTAGGTTTTTTTTCCTTAATTTGGGGTTTCTTTCCTTGTATGTTTGTTAAAGCTTATTAAAGCCCTTCTGTATGGGGAGAGGTGGGAAAAACAAATATTTTGGCGACCTTTCCAGGGCTCAGGACCTCCCCTTGCTTGTTCATGCTGATGCTGTGCAGTCGCGCCGCGACGCCTGGGCTCAGTGCTGTGCAACACGAAGCAAGGCGAGCGCCAAGCCCCAAACTAGTGTTTTTCCTTACTGCGAGGGCCCTTAACGCAGCCGTGTCCTTGATCCGGGAGGCGCAGCGTGGTCCCTTCCCGATGCCGCGGCGAGGTGGGCCGCGGGCTCGCGGCTCCGGAAGAGGAGCGAGCACCCGGACGCGGCGACCGCGCCGCGTTCCTGCTCCCGGAGCGGAGCATGAGCGAGGGGAGGAAGGGACGGCAGCGCTGCCGGCGCGGGGCCGCTCCCGCCGGGACGGAGCGACGGAGCCGGTAGGAATAGCAGCCCGGTCCCGAGGAGCTCGGCCTTGTGCAGCTTGGCCATGGGAGCAGTTTGCCTGGTCAGGAGACCTCATTGATGAACCGAGCGTTTGAAAGGAAGCAGGATTCGCTGGCAGCTGCAAAGCCGGGGGGAAATACAGAATATGTTCAAAATAGCGTGTGCAGTTAGTTAAGCTCGTCACAGCAAGAGGTGCTGAGCGAAGTTGGAGCCGTTCCTCGCTCCTTCATCTAACCCTTTCTTAACTGCTCCAAATCTGTTCTAATCATCCCTGCGCTGCATGCCTTTATTCACCTAAAACACATTAGCTGCATCTGCATGGCATAAAGCGGTTTGCAAAGTGCATATTAAATCTGCTGGAACGACCTTAATTATCGCTCTTCAAACCTCTCCGTTCCAGTCTCCGTCAGTGCAAACAAACAGCGAAGGCCGGGCGGCTTCGCGAGGAGGAGCCGGGTCTGTGCGGGCCGGAGGCAGCGCGGCCGAGGAGCTGCTGCTCCGCGCCGGAGGAGCTCGTGTTGTGACGTGGGGAGTCGCAGCGTGGGGGACAGCTGCACTCTTTATGTTGCGGGAATGAGTTGCCTACATCTCCTTCCTCTCCTGTTTTTCCCTAGCCCTTACAGTGAGACGCCGGGTGCTGGTTGCGGTGGTTTTCAGCAGGTTGCAGCTGCCCCGAGCACGCGCTGCAGCTGGTGTCCGCATCCTGCCCAGCGCCGCGGCCTCCCGGCTCCGTCCCGAGGAGCGGCCGCGCGGCGAGGACGTCTGGGCCATCCCCAGCGTCCTCCCGTTCCGAGCGGCTCGCTGGTCTGTGGCGCCTGAGACAGGCTTTAAATATTCCGGGTCACGGCCTGGAAAAGGAGCGATGCTGAAGGGAGGGTGGGAGAGAAAGCCCCAAGGGTGCCGCTGCGCCGGGCTCTGCAGAGCGCCGGGCTGGGAAGGGGCCGCAGCTGCAGCCACGGGGATCGTAATGAGAGCAATTACCTGCAGGAGTGATAAGGGGAGCGCAGGCACCAGCACGGGTGAAAAGCTGCACTACCCTGAGCAGGGCAGCGTGATGGGGGTGATGCTGCTGTGGCTGTAGGAAATGCTGGGTGGCCCGAGGTAGCCACGATGCTAGCTGCAAACACCTTGGTTAGTGTGATTTTTAGCTAAAAATGGGGGAGGAGGGGGCAGAAAGGAATGAAAAGCTTCTGGAAACTGGTCTCCTTGGTGCAGGCGTTGCTGAAAGGTGGGAGTTGCTCAGTCCCGTGTGCAGGAAGGGCTCCGAGGTGCCCGGTGAG